GTAATCACCCGACTGAAGGATGATCTGTCGAGCAGAAATCCCGTGTTTGTGAACCTCGCTCTGCAGTGCATCGCTAATATTGGCAGCCGGGAAATGGCCGAAAATTTTGCCCAGGAAATTCCAAAATTACTTGTTTCCGGGTAGGATTGTGTATTTTAAATTATTTGTCACTAAATTTTAGTGATACAATCGACTCAATCAAACAGAACGCTGCCCTGTGCATGTTACGACTAATTAGGATCGCCCCTGAACTAATCACATATGATGACTGGACAGTGCGTACCATCCACTTACTGAATGATCAGCACTTGGTAAGAACCGTCCTCGTCAATTTTGTTCTCCGTTTTGTACGTAACGGCCTGAGAAATTATGGCAGGTTGATATTCCGCTAAATGGAAATACCGAGTCGATGAATCACTCGCGTGTCTGCGAGCCAAGCACACGTTTGCAGTGGGTATGGGTAGGGTTTTCGTGTATCCGTATTATTTTATGGGTCTTCGATTTGTTCGTCGCACACAGGATACCACCAGTGATTTCTTTATGCTCCTCGAAACTGCAGCTGGCAATGCTCAGACAGGCTGAGTGGTTTTTAAAGGAATGGATTCGTCCACCGCTGAACTGCGCGGGCAAATGATACTTCCCGGTTGCCCAGACCGAGGAAGGGGGTTTGATTGAGGTACCCCACCTTAAGCCTTCGACTGAAAAGCCTGACCCACAAGGCAGTGGGCGAATGTAGGGTTTTGCTTGGGACCCTGACCCTAGCCTCTGACTCAAAAGTCTGACCCACGAGGCAGTGCGAGAATTTAGGGTTTTCTTTGGGGACCCTGCCCGGAGCCGACGACTCAATAGTCTGACCTGCTCGGCTGCAGGGGGTTGGCCTAACCCGAGGGCACAGGGAATAAGGCATTAATGTCTCATTCCTGATGCGGCTGTGCACATCAGGTGCCTTTTGAGCAGCACCGGGCTCTTTGGTTTTAAAAGTATTTCGACCGTATTGGATAATGCGCCGGCGGTCACGGTCAACCGTTGGGCGATCAGAGGGTGCGGTTTTTGGGGCCGACCTTTCTAACCCGTCCTTCCTCAGGGGAAGGCAGCATCGCTGCTTCTATAAATATGGACATGCTGGTCGCCTGGGGGAAACACCTTACTGCCTTCACACTCCTGTCGCAGAGAACAGTACGACTTTACCCCCAAACCGCCCCGTAACACGATTGCTCGTAGTGCGGGGTCTCGCTGCTCTTGGTCTGGCTGCTCCGCTCTGGCCTTCCTGGCATGGTTGCACCTTGGAGAACGAAGTTCCAGCCAGTGTAACCCGCGGGATCATTGCAGCACTGAAGCCCGACCACCACGTCAAGGTGGCAGCTTTAGGTCGGTTTTGCCAGAGACTCACCTGGAACCCAGCTGAATCTCTTGTTTGTGATGTTCTCAGGCAACTGAATGGGCTGCACCAGGCTGCCTCATGTTTCAGTTGCTACACTATTCCAGATATGTGAGTCTCTCGCAAAACCAAATGTGTTTACAAGTGAGTGTATTTCGCTGAGGATATCTTGGTTATACCGTATTTTCTTCCACAAGCAACCTTGGACACAACACACTACTCATAAGGTTACTGAAATCCAAATCAGTATGTAAATAACAGTAAATGGCGAATACAAGCGAGTCCTGGTGAATTTTTCAGTTTTTTTCAGTTCCGAAAAGCCGCCAAATGCACCACTATTTTATGGAGGTATTTTAACTATCCTAACTGCGCAGTTCTACATCCTTTGTCCATTCTTTGCGGATATCGCGATATCCCATGCGGATCAGAGAATACCATATTCCGAGTTGGCCTTAAAACGATCCGAACTTTAATAAAGCGGGGATTAGTATCACTGAGTCGGGCCTGTTCTTCCATACTTTCACACGTCCATAAATTGTGGCCTTGAAAAACAAGTCTGGCTGTTGATTGACGTTCCTTGCAAGATACCTGTTTGTCTTTCTATCCAGTATATGTGTGTGTCTACCTCTATCCACGTCGATTCCAGCCTCCAGAGTCTCACTCGCACGTGCGACAGAAATTCTATCGCGTTCCAAGTTGGACGGACCTGTCCAAAACGCGTACTGTCTGGACACGCGACCAGATCCGCTGGTCGACGTCACAGTTAACGAAATTTGTCAGGCCGTTCACGCGTGATGAAGTAGACGAGACGAGGCAGAAGAGGCAGAAAGCAAGCAAGACTGGGGAGAATTGATTCATACCCAAACCACGGTTTGTCTTTTTTCCAGGACGCGGTCGGCCTTTTGGTGGGCGTAGACTTGTGGTAAGGTTAAAATAAGGTCTGCCTGGTTTACGTCTGACGACTGATTGATTTTCGCATCCACTATGCGAAATCCGGAGAGCAGTTATTGTAACAGCTCCCTCACTGTGTTATTTTGAGATCGTCATTCCATTTCATGAGAATACTCTACCTTTCTCAGCTTCGCTGACCGGATGTTTTCAAAAGAACATCTGCACTTCGAGAAATACAGTCATTTGCAAATCAATTTGCAACTCACGAGAGACTCAACTGAATCTCTCGTTTATGATATTCTACAACTGAATGTGCTGCACACAGACCGCCTCATGTTTCAGTTGGCACGCTAGTTCCAAGTAGAACATAAGGTTGACGGAAACTCGGGGACTGCACCTACTTGGTGAGCCACAAGAAGGGCGAAACCGGTCGTGG